AATTTATCATCCACAGAGTGTGCTAAGGTGCTTTTGATCTTTGAAGGCAATATCTTTCAAAGTCATGTGCTGCTTATATGTGACCATGGGTCCTTTTTAGGAATCTCAGTATCATGCTGATTTCAATGAGTGAATGAATTTTTAAGAAGGTACACTGATAACTCGATTTAATTGAGGCCCTAGGTCCTCTTGAAATCTAGTTGGGAGGATCAAATGAGAGAAAGTACATGGATGATGCTTTGAAAACAACAAAGAACTGAGTAACTGTAAGATATTTTATTATGATAATTTCTATACCTTAATATTCACCAAACTGTTGATTTCACAAAATATTAAAGGTCCTTCAATTCTACCAAATATTAGCCGTAAAGAGCGTTTTAAAATACTTTCACACTGTTCTGTTCTATTCCTTATACTTCTTTACAGAGTGTATTTTAAGCACAGAACTAAAAGTTGGTGTCACAGAGAAAGTTGCGGTAACTTATAAGCTTTGGTTTCTAGAGACTTGAAGAAGTTTTTCCATCTTTCTGGTATTTTATTCCTGTCAGTTTGCATTGCTTCTTTCCTTTCCTTCTTCTACTTGGCCAGGTTTGGTTTTGAGCTTTGGATTCAAAGAAACCCCAAATTCAAAACAAAATGGTCAGAACTGCTGACTCTTGTTTTGTAACCTTTTTTAGTCCAGCATTCACAGGAAGACAGGGCACTGGCCAGAATTTGGGCCTAACTTCACCCAAAATGTTGGCAAAGTTCAGGAACCTGGGAATGAACTTGGGCCAAAGATACAGATATATACCAAAACTTCAACACTTTTCTAAGACATTTAAATATATTTTAAATAAACTACCACCCTTTAAAAAGTAGATTTTTTACTTAACATTAATTATTAATCTGCCAGGTATTTTTGATTAAAATTAAATTATCTAATTTACATTTTGTATTAAATAGACTCTCTTGTTCTTTGAAGTTACAGGTACATTTTGGAACCTCACTTGTAAAATGTACGTAAGTGTCTTAGTTACTTTTTTAAAAAAGATTTGTAATTACAAAAAATAAAGTTATATTAAACTGGCTTATCGAGTTTCAACTCAGAATTTTTATAGCCATGTTATAAATCTTCCACAATAGTGTTTTTATAATGGGAATGCTGACAAATGCAATAATAAACACCAACCCAAGGATCTTAATTGTATGTTCATGCATGCTAGCATAATATTTGGTTCAATTTCCAGTGCTCATTTTGCCAAAATCTGCTTTCACATTGGGCAACTGTAAACGATGATCAGGCTGAATGACTGCCTGTTGATGGCAAAGGCTTCTGATTATTTTTACTTTCCTTGGAAAGCCTGATTATGTCTTCCAAATATGATTTCATTTAGATCCTTTTTTGGTTTACATGTCTGAATACTAATAGTAACCTGATAGTTATGGGGAACTTAGTTTGAGACCAAAAAGCAGTTTTCAGTCAGCAAAGAGTGTATAAATAAATTGACTCCAAGCAACATCTAAAATCATACATTCCAAGTGTCCAAATAACTTTAAGATTTCTAAAACTAATTATTACAGTTTTTCAGAAGTAATTTACACCATTAGGATTTAAAAAAAAAAAACTGTTAGAAGGTATTGAAAAACCAATGTCACCCCGGCCGGGTAGCTAATTGGTTAGAGCACCATCCGAAAACTCCAAGGTTGTGGGTTCAATCCCGGGTCTGGGCACATATGAGAATCAGCCAATGAATGCACAAATAAGTGGAACAACAAATCTCTCTCTCTCTCTCTCTCTCTCTCTCTCTCTTTCTCTCTCTCTCTCTCTCAAATAACAAATTTTATTAAAAAAAAGAAAAACCAATATCTACGGATATTTCTATCAATGTTGATTTAGGAGATGATAAAGGATAAAACAATTTTAACATAGGTTGTTTTATATAATAAAATCACTGTATTATAAAGTACAGTGAATTTGTGGATCTAACATGGGAAAAATAAAAACGATCACATTGCTTAGAAAAGTTGAGTGTTGCGATATGAGGTGCAATAGATCCATGGTCGCAATGCAGATCATTTTGTCTTACCTCTAGGGATAATTTTGTGTAAGGAAAAAATCTATCAATTTCTTTGTGTTTCTAATCCTTATTTAGCTTCAAATTATTCTATTAATACAATGATTTAAAAATGCCTTGACACTTCATATTTTAAAGGAGCTTCCAAACATGTTAAAAACGTACAGAGAACAATGCATTTATAAGCTGTAACAGTTTTAAGAATGGTAAACATACTTCTATTAATAACAGGAAAATAGCTGTTTATTCGGATGCTCTTCAGGCATTCTTTACTATGCTGAAGAGGTGTTCACTGCAGGATATTATGTGCTTGTTGAGAATATAACAATGGTTCATAACTTGAGGGAGAGGATTAAGGCTGATGGTTGTACTTACTCTTCAGAACCCAATGATGTTTAGGTCCTTTGCAGTTTAAAAAAATCGTGGTTTTCAAAATTGGTTCTTTCAACAAAATGTTAATGATTCCTAGAGTTGAACCATTTTTTTTTTTACTTATTTAAAACTTACAGATTATTTTTTAAATGATGTTTAGGTGTCAGGACTTTAAGTGGGAGAAGAAAGGGCACTTCTGTAATCTGTTTTGAACCCATGCATACTATATATAAAATATCAACCCAATTTTTAATTGAATAAATGAATAACTGGATAAACATGAGGGACCCAAGGAGCCACTAGCGCTCTATAAGCTGGAAAGCACAGCTTTGATGATGAGATGAAAAATAGTTACTTTTCCTTTAACCTATTGTAATGAGTAATTTTAATTTTATTTTTAAAAATACAAATATGCTTGTCTTAGTAGCTAAGATGTTGTCTAGGAATAGAAAGTAAAATGAGTAATTTACTTTATAAAACTGATATAGAGGTCATTGTCCAAATTTCAGGTTTGTTTTTTTTTCAACAAAGGTGCTGGAGAACAACAACAACAACAAATCGCACAACACTGCCTAGTGGCGTTTTTTGGTCTTAGCTGGTTACATTTTTTCTTTTACCTGTTTATCCTCATGTTCTTGTAGTAGAAGTAGAAAAATCCAGGTGAAAAGATACAAAGTAAGAAGTCACCTTTAGGAGGGTGGCCATTTCAGAACCAATCCAGTGCCTATGGGCAGGAGAATTGGGAAAACTTGTCAATGAAGGCATTGAGAGGCAGGCTATCCCTGCGAGGCTGGGATGCTGGTCGGAGGGAGTGGGAACAAACTTGAATGTTCATTTGATGCAGAAATTTCATGTCTATGTAATATTAGGAAATTATCATAGGCAGAGATTTATAAGAATGGTCTCTGTAAAGGACTTGTAAATATGCACTTGTAAAGGATTGGAGGTAAGTCGTGAAACACCAATATGACAATAAAATACAGTAATTAAAGTTACATTTGGATCATATTTAAAGTCAAAGGAAAAGTGTTCATTCCATAATGCTGAGTGGAAAAAGATCAGTACTCGAAACAAGTCTCAAATTTGTTAAATGTATTGAATTTACATCTGTATATATTTTTTAAAATGACTAGAAGGATATAGGTAAAAATGCTTTATGGAATCGTAGAGTGATTTAAATGTTATTTCTTTTTTAACCTTTGTTTTTCCAACTTTCTAAGATGAGTATATATTACTCCTTAATATATGAATTATATTTCTAAAAGTATGATAGGGACAGTGTGTGTGTGTGTGTGGGGGGGCGCATGGGGGGTTGAGAAAGCTAAGTAAAGTGTTGGAAAATGGGGATTTATCCTTTAGGGTTACTGAATTTACAGTAAGGTGGGCATTATTCACTTCTTTTCCTCTCCTCACTTAAACCTACTCTTATTTGAATACCCCCCAATTCAGCTTAGCAGGTCGCCCAGAAGGAAGAACTGGGGAATGGCAGAGTCCAAACTGGAGGCGGCCCCTCAGCACGGTCCTGCGTCAACCGCATCTCCATTGCACACAGTTTTGGGAAGTGGAAGAATGCATCTCTTTGGACTTTTTGCCTCGTCTTTTCCTGGATGAGACTAGAAGGAAAGCTACCTTCCCTAGTTTAAAAGTGCGCGCTCCAGGGACGCTGCGCTTGGGGAGACCCTGCCCGTT